AGCAATTCTGCCCCGTAGATTTCAATTAAAAGTAAAGAATATTTCATACTTTTCCGTTGAATGTTTATAAAAGTTCATCATTATCTCCTCCATTGTTATTTGAAACTCCAACAAACTACAGCTGGGTTACCACAAAGTTGCAAAATTAGCGCCATTAATGATTTAAGTGGAGAAGTTTTCACCCGTAAGAAAACACTTCAGTACTTTCAGCTAATTAATTTCTTAATAACAACGACGTATTTGTTAACTTTCTATGTAATTTTATGGCATCACAAAATACTTTCTCATGTGAGGATGAATTTATGAGCTTCTTTGAAAATGAAAGAAAAATTAAATTTTCTTCTCGATTTTGTTTCGCGTCAACATCATCCATGAGGTTATTAAATTTCCTAGATTTTTACAACCAAGCTGAAGAGTTTTTGTTGGGTTACGCAAAACAAAATTGTAATTAAAATTTCGAATTTTTCAATTTCAGCTTTATTATTTTCTAACTGAATAGCCTTTTTTAATTTAAGATAAATTAAATTATATCTGTATTTGACGAATTAAAAATTTATTTTGAGAAATGAAAATTTTATTATTTTTTAAAGAACGAAAAATTTTTAAACATACACAATAAAGAATACACAAGACTTTTCTTTGACACTAACCTTTAGTTTTATTCAAAATAAAATCAATTCCTTAGAAAGAGATTTAACGAAAGCAAGTTATATTTGGCAAGACATATATTGTTAGCAATCTGAGCGGCTGGATCGATTTACCTTTCCGCATTTTCTTAATTAAAAAGAGTTTAAGATAGAAAGATAATATGTTTTGCAAAACAGGCTGTAGAAAGTAATATTCTTTCCTCTTTCTTTCTTCGACATGTATATAATACATTAAGTTTTGCGTGGCGATATCTACATAGCTTCACTTTTATTTTCTAAACTATTGCATTCTGATTTGAACTGCATATTCAGCACATACTTTTATTATTACATTTAGGAATGCTAATAGTTTAGGAGTTTACTTTATTTTTACACAATAAAATTGGTTTTAATTATGATAATTTTCATTAGTATTATTTGTTAAACTCATGTTTATTGTTCGAAAGTAATAGAAAAGAGATTTAAAAGAAATAAAATTTAAAACACTTTTATGCCAGGATATTTTCTTCGTTTAATAAACTACGTACATTAAGAATTAAAGTCATTTTGGATTAAACACAGTAATCTAAAGCCCTTGCGAGATAAAATGATTCCTGGAGAATATTTAAAACAATAAAACTTTCTCTGAGGCAAAATATTAGTTTAAACAATTAATAACAGTAGAATTTTCTGTTATTCATATGTTACAGTAAAAGCAGCAGACATACCTTGCAATTCCAAATGATTTCGGCTCTCCAGCGGCTGAGCGGTAAAGTCACTGAATACTGCCAGTTCACCCTGGGATTCGATTCCAGGCAAATGAACTGGCTCCATGAGTGTTTTCATGGGTTTTCCCATGTGTAACGTAGATACGAGCCAGTTTCCCTTAGAAAATCTTCTACGAAAGCATCCCATAATTGCTTACCATAATAAGATAAGCCAAACAAGTGATTTCCACCTTCTGTGAAAGTAGCCATCTTAGAGAATAAGATTTTCATCTGCCTCTAATTCTCAAGTTCATTTGTGTTACCAGAAATATCTTTGACCTCTAGAGGTTATCGCCTTGAGATGTTTTACTATACTCGTCACTGAAATATGCGCTGCAATTGTTTCTAGTAAGTGAAATTCAGTTATCAGCGTTACTGATTTAAAAGAAACATGATTGTTCTGACTATCAAAAAAGAAAAAAAATTCCCTGTCCATTTTCAAGTACGAAATGCAGTTGGAATAGGAATTCAGAAATTCATTCATAAACCAGTCTTAATGTGGATGATTCCTTAATATCTGTTATGTACAGCAAAATTATTAATTACTGAATACACGGCTAATCAAAAGAAAATGTTTTCATGACCATACTAAGCAACATTAACAAAATTCATTACAAATATATTTACAAAGGTCTGAATACATATAGAGTAAAGAACATTTTTCGGAACATATTCTGAGATAGGAAGCAACACTGAAATGCAGGTCTTTCCGGAGAACCGCGATATGTGGTACCCTGATCCACTTTTACATAATCTTGATATCACTTTTAATAAATAAAAGGATATCTTCTTTAGTCTGTAAATAATATCTTCTTTAGTAATAATATAAGTACTTTTCTTTTCTTAAGACGAAATATTTGCAAGGAATAAATTTAAATCAGTGGTTGTTATTTGTTTTAACATTGATTCTTTTCATTAAAAATATTGATAGAATAATAAAATTTCTACAATTCAATGCCGTGAAAGAAAAACTTGTTCTATTAACACTATTAATGAAGTAATTTGAACTAACGTTTTCTTTTTAATTAAAATTTCTGTTCGAATGCATACTTCGAATTTGCATCGCTGTATGTAAATATTAATTTTCAAGTTCTGCAAATCAGTTAAAGAACTATGCATATTTCATTTTTCAAAGTCGGGTTCCTAAACATTGCCTGTCTGAACAGAGAGAATTATTTATGTGCTTTGGAAGCATTTTTTAGGTGTGTTTATGAAATATTCATACTATGAGTCTATACTCTACTAGCATTTTTTCGTTTGGATTTGTTTATTTTTTACCTCCAGCAAATATTTCAACACTGCCTCAACAAGTGAAAGCTTGAATACTCTATTTAAATCAGCAGTACTCCAAAAAGAGATTTAACAAGATTTTGGTAATTTTTTAACATTAACACACTCGGCGCGTATTCGAGTCCCGGCGAGGGTGTTGCACATTGTTCACGTATCCTGCTTTAAAATAACCTAATTACTCAAAATAACCTACAATATAAATCAGTTTAAAATTAATAATCTAATAAACTGATATTGGGATACGATGAGCTTCTTCCTGTTAGATTCCTACTTCCCAAACATTTGAAAATTAGCGATTTTCAAAAATATATGACGTTCAAAAGTATCCACTCTTTACTAGTGGTACTTTACTGTGTTATTTTTATTTTCTTACATGCTTTTGCAGTAACTTAAATTCTTAACGAATTCTTCTACGAATTTTGTTCCGACGTCATTTGAAACCATAATTAAGTTTCAGTGAAGATGAGTTTAATGTTAGGAGAAATTCTTTGTATATATTTTTAGCATTCGAGTGAAATAATAGACGGATAATGAGCATAATAAATGTGTTTTAATAGATATTTTATCCTAATTTTCTTTCTTGGCTTTATCCATAAATACCTACCTTTAACTGACAAATAATTATCTACTGGAGACGCCGTTGAGATGGACTTTGTAAATCGAAAGTTTCAATATTATTTTAGTAGAGAAGAAAAAAAAGTCTTAATTTGATTCTGAAAGCAGAATATTTTAAGATAAGTTTAATTTGAACGTCATGAGTTAATTTAATATAATGAATATTTAAAATTTTGTATGACCATAATAAAAACAGAGATATTATCATTAAACGCAAAGCTTTTGAAATGCAGAAGGTGATAAAACAGTTCGAGTCTCGTTAGAACTCGACCTCCGTAACTGCTGACTACCAGCCGGACATGCTTTCAACCATACAACGAAGAAGAAGGAATTAAGAGAATTCTTCACAGTTTCTTTAATTTGACTGAAAGTCTGAAAGCCACAGTAAAATTCTTTCAAACATACTTTTTTAATTTTTATTATACATGCAATATAAATAATGCTTATTCGGTAGCTGGTTTAATTCTGAACCGCGATATCTCAGAAAGGAATTATTTATAAAAGTTTTAAAAAATCATTTTATCATTTTTTTTCCTGATTAATATACAATCAGCACCTAATTAACCGAAGAAATACTAGGAATGATGCCTATGATTAAATTGGGGTTAACCTGAGGGCGATTAAAAATGACATAGCAACAAGAAATAACTCATCATGCGAGACTAATAAAAAGGAAAATGCAGTGTTAAACTGCAGAAAGATACATAAAAGTTACCTGTATTTTTAGAAGCTTAATCTGGATAATAAATTCACCTGGGTATGTTAATTAAATCAGTGTTCAAGATTCTCTAATTTTTTTTCTAGAGCAAAATTTGCTCTCCATGAATGTATTTCTTTCTTAGTGCAGAATCACATGTTACTTGCTTTTGTTTATATCATTCTTCTATTTGGATAGAAGTTAGTGTAAAATTAAAGACTAATGGCTATATCTCTGATGAATTTTTATGATCGAATTATTTACTTTTAAAAGATGATAATTTGGATTATGTATAATTACATCGCGCAGGATTATGGATAAAACGATTCTGAAATACTACAGCACTACCACCTGCTGTCACTGCTGCTATCTGGCGCATTTTTTACAGTTTGTTATTAATTGTCTATAATAGTAATTTTTGTTCCGCAATGAACGAACTTAACGTTTGTTTTTAGACAAAGCTGAGTTAATCCCGTTTCTCTACATACGGATGCTAGTGAATTGACTGCATCTTAAAAGTAATCATAGTTTCTTTCATTTAGCATTATTCTAGTAAGATTTCACGTGTTTTGATTATAATAAGTTTTAATACCGAAGTTTCATTCTCGTATCATCTATGGTATCAACATTCGCAAACTGTAGCATTTCTGCTAATTTAGCTTTATAGTTAAGCCTATATATTAAATTCGTGGCCATTTTAAATATTTATTGCAAAGAAATTAAGTTTTATTAGATGACATCATTATAGTCAAAATGAATTAAATTTTACCAAAAGTTACTATTGAACACAATGACTATCACCCAGAGTTTAAAGTTTTATACCCTCACAGATCTATGTAGGATTAAAAGAATCCATAAAATCGAAGCTTTTATTACAAATATTGAGAGCAATAAAAAGTCTGGAGACTTTTAAAAAGTAACTTAGATGTGGGAAATTAATTAGGAAATTTGCGAAAAGCCATAAATAGCACCATAAAAGTTTTAATGAGGAGAGAATGTCATCACCTGCAGGCCATCCATGGAATAGCTGAGGAAAGTATAGCCTTCCAAAGCTGTGCATTCCCCATACTGCGGACGATAGATAACAAGAAAAAAGTGTAATCCGAACAAGGGAACCAGAACCAAAGTTGCACGAACAGCCTTCCTGCAACATACATACAGATATATCACACTACTGTAAAAATATGGAAGTGCTGTAAATTATCATACGCAAAATCACCTTTTATAGTCTGAGACTCTTTTTTTTAATGTAGTACAAGTGAAATACATGACATTTTTCTCTCAAAAGTTTTAGCATTTATTTTACCATATTATTTATAAAGTATTCTCATTTCCAGTAATATAATAACATTCAATGTCGGTACTATTAATGAGCAGTAGGATAAAATCGATGAATTCTATTACAGATTTCAATTCTGTAATCTGTAATCAGATATATCTCCATCTAATCAAGGAAATGCATCCATTGCTTTTTGCTGCGTATACATCTTGCTTTGGATTAAGTTTTTCGGCTTATTTTGTTATGCGTTTTTAAATGTCCAAAATCCGTAGTTCTCGTGAGCCTTGCTGACTGAGTTATTCAAATTTCTGGAAAACACAAGTCCAATAACTTTGGATAGCAGTCGAAAATGTGCTTCATGTAAAACAATTAGTACGGAAAACGTATTAGAATCACAATTTCAGGACAAATATAAACACTTTATTCTCAATAACTTCAATTATTATTTTGCTATTGTGTTTAAGTTTACCAATAATTTAACTTATTGTAACTATTGGCTATTCAAAGTTTAGCTAGTCCATGTTTAATTAAATCTGCAAAATATTACGCTTTAAAATATTTTCTGTTTTTAACATCAGGTTTGTAAAAAAAAAAAAAAAAAAAAAAAAAAAAAAAAAAAAAACAAAGAAATGACTATCACTAACAAAATTTTGACAAAAATACCAACATTTATAACTAATAAAATAATAAAATGTAGTAATAAAGGTTTTGATTAACTTTACTGACTACTAGAGCTTTACGTGTTTATGTGTGGCTACTAGTATTTTATGCGTATACCTAAGAATATCATTTTCCTTTTATAATATAAAAAAAAAAAAAAAAGAACTTGCGTAATTTTTATTAGAGAACACTGTCAAAATATGCATAAAGTAGTTACTCAAATGATCATAATGAAAGAAGTTTAAGTTACTTAATCATACATAAAGAACGTTTATGAGTTTTAGGCATAATAAATAAATTATGATTATTCAATTATTATTATTATTATTGTTATTTTGCATTTTAAGATCAGTTGAAAGTAATCAAAATCGATCTACATCAAGAAATGTTTTTAATGTTCTGTAAATACACTTATGTATAAACTTTTCATTATTTTCAATATAATTTATGAACGAAGAAAAGATTTACATATAATACTTTCTTCCAGATGCACCAAATCATTTACATTTTATATGAATACTTGCTCGAAGAACATAAGAAATATCTTCTTGTTACATTTTTAGTGTTCATTTCTGTCATTAAATATAACTGCATCTGGAAGAACCTTAAATAATTCTAGAACACATCATTTCATTTTGTACTTACCTAAACTGACTCGGTTCATTGCTATGTGTAGCTCGCAACTTTGTGACCAGTACTCGGATGATGTTGCAAAGAAATGCGAAGTTCAACTGAAAAGAAATAAGTTCAAATAAATGCTTAAGAAATCATTGTGAACTGATGACTCTTTCAAAATTGTGATGTATTAGAGAAAAACTCAAACAGACTGTGTTCGATTTTTCCGAAGCAGAAATGTTGTCGTGAAATTAAGAATTATTTTTCAGAATAATACATATTTTCATGCATAATATACAAAATATGCACACATACATTTCAGAATACACGAAATATGCACACACATATTTCAGAATAGTACACAAACTATTTTTCAGAAATTATTTTACAGAACAGTTTCAGAATGTACTTCAGATTTTTTTCAATGTTCCTAGTTGTAAATTTTCGGCTTGCATCAAGAACAACATGCAGTTTACCTAAAGATCCTATCAACAAACATTAAAGAAAAATTGAGTTTACTACTGGGAAAATTCGATAAATAATTTTTTTTCACAAAAATCACGCTAAAAATCAAGAACAGTATATATTACATCACACTTGTTTACATGGGAAAGTAAATAAACATTTAAAATATTATTTTTGGGAAACTCAGTTGAAATAAAATTTTCAGGTACTTAAGTAACGAAGAAACTGATTTCTGTTACGAATATAATTATGTGCAAAGCACGCTTAAAAGTCTAAATTTATTAGTTGCAAAGTCAATCAGTACAGTTAATCAACAGCAGCTAATCAGCAAAACTAAATTTTGACACTATGAACAGTAAAATTAGCATATTTCAGATGGTCATAGAATTAATAAATAGTATTCAAACCAATAAAACACTATATTGTTGGTTAAAACACGTACTAAACAGGACGACTATACACATTGAATTGGCTTCCTACGTACGTTGATCTGAACTGCGACTTAATAAATATATCATATATTTCAGAAATTTGTAGCAATTTTAAAAGATTAGCAGACATGTTACATGGCTAACAGTAATAAGAAACTTTAATAAGGTTACGTATGTTCATGATTGAATAAAACTTATGCATATATCATTCTTTTTAACATGCATTAATACAAAATAAACATAAATCGCTCATAAAACAGTTAAAATTTCTCCAGAATCCGCTTGCTATCCGCAGCGATAGAAATGCAGATATATATCAAGTCTGCGTAAAAGTAACTGCACGACATATTGTACTATTTTAATAATCTCTCATCTATCTCCTAGTGCAAGTATTACAGCGATTAAAGTGTTATAATTAACTGCTTAACAATCTTCATGATCCTGGCGATATTCATCTAAATAGTTCTCAGTTCAGTAAACTTAGGAATGTACTAAAATAGTTGTATTATCTGGCTCATATTTAACATAATTCTGAAAATATAAAATAATTAGATATGTCCCAAAGGAATGCTTTTAACGATATTAGAAAAATGCGCAAGAAATAATGAAAAGTCATGAGGAAAAAGAAAACTTTCTTGGTATGTACTCTAGATTTTTTAATGCAATTATGTTCTTCGCCCTCCATCTGTATATAATAAAAGCAAGTCAAATTAAAAGGCTTACAAGGATAAAAACAAAAGTTCATGTGGGGGGATTTTTCAATTCTTATAAAAATGTAAGTTTATTGGGGGGGGAGTACAGCGGTAAAAATAATATTCTCTCCCTAAGCCTTAACATCTCTTCTCTGTACCATATTTTCTACTTCAGAGAAAATCTTGTTTGCAGTGATTACTTTCAAACTGAACCAAGGTGAATGTCAGAATTTCCGGATCTGACAGGAGAATTATTTTCTTTCATAACCTAAAATAACTGCTCTTACCGATAAGCACTTACAAACACGGAGATAATGCTATATTCAAGTTATTTATTGCTTTCAAACCTTGCTGACAAATATGAGTAAAATTCAGGTATCCCAGCTTCACTAAGTTTTGCCTCCAAATCCGAATAGCACTCGACGTTGATTATCTGCATTTGCATATGATTACATACTGACTTTATTATCGAGAAAACCGAAGAAAACATATCTTCCAAAGACTTAAAAATTTACAAACCTGTTTTAAATTCAGTTCTGAGGCTAAAAATGTTTTCCGCGTATTTTTGATAGCATGCAAAATCACCTAAGCTTAATTAGTTCATGTTCCATGTGAGAAAGTGCATTGCACCTCCATTTTTCAATTGCGTTTAATAAATAATTAGGTTATATTTGAATGCCTTAACTTGGGTATACATGTTTGGAAGCATCTAATCTTCGCTTTTTAGTTTGAATCGGATATGTATCGGAAATAATTAAGTTAAATTTGATAAGTATTTTGTTACATCGATCATGAAAGGTAAATCTTGTAATCATACGGGATCAGAAAGCAAAATTGTGTCTTGATTTTGTTTATTAAAAACTGGAAGATTTCTTCTTTAAAGGACCAGAATAGTTTTAGAACCTTGAAGCAGGATAGCCAGCATGCGTCAGTACAGTAGGACAAATCAGAATAGTAACTTTCTAATCCACTTAGAGAAAAGAGAGAACTATCGCTGATTTAAGCTTTGAGATCTTGTCAAATTGATAAACTTTTTGATACTTGTCAACATATTTTCCATCTTTATTACCTTCGTATGTAACAATTGTTGATGCACAATGCAATGTATATGATATGATAAATCGTGGATCCGTTAAAAGTTTCACCACTCATTTTTCCCAGAAATGCCACAAAACCTTGGTTTTTTCCGGTCACTGCAGGAGCTCCACCTGTTGCTACAGAATTCAATTTTGACAGAAATAGATTATATTTTTGCAGGTATTGATAAACACAGTTAAATATATTTTACCCTGTAGTAGTGCCATGTACGGTGCTAGGTACAGTAATTTCTTATAAATGGTGTTCCAGCATAACTGCGCAATAGAAAGTTGTGCGCGCGCACACCTCTTCTTAGAGTTTATATGAAAAGATAGAGCGTGCCATGAACAACAAGGGAGAGTCCATGCTAATTAAAATCAAGGGTCCTCAAGCGTAATCCCTCGTAGTTATATATAATATAAAATGTTAGTGTTTCTTTAATTTAAATAAAATGTGCATCAACGGAATAAGTGACTCTAAATAAAAAGAATGGATACAACCAACTTGAGGATTTATTAATGATTAAGGTTGACGCAACAATGTAAGGTAATGACGTGACAACTTTGGTTGTTGAGCCTCAGGACAAGGACAGAATTTCTGAAGTAAGTGAAACTTTTAGGAATTATAATTGTTTTGTTTGAGTAAAATATTCAAGAATTGCTAAAAAGAGGAACTTAAGCTTATAACTATAGAGTTAGGAGGAACTGTATCCGAAAAAAACACATTTTGAATTAAAAAGTAATAAATATTATCAAACAGATATTGAAATTGCGAAAGAATTAATAAATACAACGATCAAAGATCGTAAAAGTAAAGAGCAAAGTTTACTTAATTTAGAGCAGATTAATTTAAAAGAATAAAAGTGGAAATAAGGCTTGTAAAATTACGAGTAGAAACGAAAGTAGGAAACCAAAAGCGGAGAGATCTAGAAATTCGTAATTCTTCAGATTCGTTTGTGAAAAGTACAAGAACTTTAAATATGCCTCCTTGGCCAGAAGTTAGTATGGTTTCTTTACTTCGTTAGAAAGAATTTTTGTCTGAAAAACTGTTCCTGATGAATATAAATGGGAGATTCTATTAAATTTATTTGGTGCAAGAGTCTCTAACGTAATCACTTATGTTAAAAATGACGAGTTGAGTAATTATGAAAAAATGAATATTAAGATAGTTTCAACCCACCTCTCAAGCATGATTAGAACAATTTTGAAGGACACCCCGCATCAGCAAAACGAAACTTATACACAATTTGCTTCATGTTTAATCACGGGTTGGAATTATTATTTAAATCTAAGAAAAATGTCTGATTTTGAAACATTACATGATCTTATTTTATCGGATAAAATATTTCCTACTTTTCCTAAAAAAAATGTAGTGTCACACATTAGTATTCGACCATGGCCGATTCGAGTTTTCAAAACAAATACACCTTTATTACATCTCGTGTGGAAAAACTCTTAAAAATAGTTCCAGTTAAAGGCTATGAAGAGAAAACTGTACCCAAAGCATATTTTTAACCGATGTTAAAAGTTCAAAATGTGTTATTTGCAATCAAAATCCTGCTTTTTATCAGCGATCCAATTAGAAAAAGTTATCTGTAAATAATTTCACGTTTTGTGTGTGGAAAAAGATACCACGTGACGCTCCATTTCCTGTCAAAAAATAGATCATCGAAAGATTTAGAATCTGAGTATGAAAAGAATAAAAACGCAACAGTAACGAGTGGTTCAATCTTAGCGGGACTTTCTGCCTAACAGCTTTGAACCGACAAGTGTAAATAAATCAAGAAGTGATATTTTAAGTACCGCGATCTGCTTTATTAATGATTGTTATGGGAAATTACATCCAGTCAAAACACTAGACGTGGACAGCACTTCCCGTCTTATAACCAAGGAACGTGCGACTAGATTCCAATTGAAAACAGGTAAAATAAACATCATAGTTTCTGTGTCAAATGATTCCTTATATACAATTCGAACGAGAGTTTCGGATTGTGTTAGCAATTAAGATAAAAGTTAGTCTCTCCTAGTGAACTTAAGAGAATAATGTTGTCTCTTACTTCGGAACATTTAGTGTTATTAGTAATACATTGTTATATGAGTTTCTTGCTGTAAGTAATAGTTATTCTCAACTTGTTCGAATTCGAGTTTTATTTTCAAGTTTTTGAGAAATTGTCGAAAACCGGAAAGGCTAACAGGAATCTTATCAACAGAAAAAAATTGGTAGAACTGAGAAAATGTTAATCATATTAATATGGAAGAAACCATTTCTTAATGAAATGAATTATATTCATATAAAGGGGTTAGTTCAAAGAGTCAGGTATGAAATTTGCATACATTCATTGATAAAGATGGATTATAAAAGGTAGGTAGAAAACTTAAACAGAGTGATGTAAATTATGACAAAAATTTACCAATTTTTATACCGTCCAATTATAAGTTAAATGAAGTTACA